AAGCTTACAACTAGAGGAACAAATCCTTACCACTTTCAAGCACTAAAACCAACTGAATCTCGCGGGAAAACTCCACCAAAACCTGCCAAACCTGCAACTCACGATCCCGATGTCCAAAACCTTCAAACGAACCACCCCGAGCCTCCTAAGGACCTCACCAAGTTTCCTACAAACTTGAAATTCCCAAAAACACATGAATTTACGTGTGCATGAACAGTACCCCAATTTGAACATCTCCGGTTCAACATGAAAACGAAGGTATCCTTACCTGAAATGGGTATGGTTGAACTCCTAAGGACGTCACGAGCACAAATATGTAGTTTTCTTCCTCGATGTACCACGTTTTCGAGCAATTGGACTCGTGTCTGTACAAGGAAGAAAGGAAAGGGAGAGAGAGACAGGGATACGGGACAGGGAAAGGATGAGGATGAGTGTGGGTGTGTGTGTGGGGTCCAAAACAGCCAACCAAAACCCCAAAATAACAACACAACGAAACAAAAATAATAGGGGCAAAACCGTCATTTTACCCCTACGGTACGAAAAATCCGGGACGGGCTATCACAAAATTACATAGGATAAATGGTCTTTTTCTTTAAAGAATAGAATAAAGGGGGGACTGGAGATAGAACTAATTTATAATTTTTAGCAAAAAACATATTATTTACTACCTCTCCTCTACTAAATATACATTAAATAATAATCTGTATTGAAATTGAGTAGGCTATAAGCATGAGTTTACAAAAGAATAGATCTATTCACAAACCCATTTTACTTCCAACATAGCCTTATTAATATTTTGTTAGTGATCATCTTCAATTCATTCGATCCGAACAATCGGTGATTAAAAGGTGTGTAAAAAGTAAAAATAAATATATGAATAACACTACTCTTACAAAAAAACCTCCCTAAACTACAGCCCACCTTAACCTCATGAGTGGCTACGCCATTGTAGTTAATTAGGAAGATAAGTTGAGTTGGAGTGTTCTAGAATAACAATACGTGGGCTGTAGAGACATGAATAGGAAAACAAATTAGTGGGAGGTGGCTTAAATGTTTCATGCAGATTAATAGGTGTGTAATTCCAGCAAACTTGGAGATCCACCTAAGGTTGGACGTGCCATGACTTGGTTCTTAGCTATCTGAATTAAGGTGCTTGTAAGCACTTTTGTAAATTTGAGGTGGCAGGTGCGGGTTAAATCTTTTGAGTTGCTATTGACACCTGTTGCATCAACTAAGTGACTAAGCAATTAGGTGTTGGATGCATAGTATCAGGTCTCCTCATCTTTACACGCAGGAGCTTGTAGAAGAACAAGATAGGTCCATCGGTTTTATCCTTGCCGTCACACCATTCAATCAAATTACATTGGTAGCTGCCTTTTCCCCTATAAATAGGGACTTCATTCCCTTGGTTTGGGTTACCAACTGGTGCACGGGTTGGACGATTTAGTGAGATATATGGTTACATGCAAGCATGCATGTTAAGCATTTGCAGAGAGAAATTATGAGAGTTTGACATGCAAGTGCATGCAAACATGTTCTGTACTTACGCTATATGCATATGTTTAGTTCTTATATTTATATATATAGAGAGAGGTTGGAAAATAAAAGAGAGTAGAAGAAATATATGGTTTTAGGAGCGATCAAGGAGCTTCTTCGAATACGAGGAACTTAGTCATTTCGGTAGTGACATGGATAAGTGCATGGAGTTTAGCTATTCTGATAGTGACGTCGATCGTCGTTTTAGCTTTGAAATCTAAGTAGAGGAAATATGGCAAACCTTTACGGAAGTTGATTTTATTAAATTTCGTGAAGTGTTAGAATATTTTTTATCTTTTTGGTTGATTAATGTGGTTGGATATTAATTGGCTAATTGCTTCGTTTAATTTTATTTGTTATTAGTTATGGAATTATTATTGGAATGTTATTCGTCGAGAATATACTGTGATACATGTAAAAATGAAATGATATTATTTGTGCATCATTTATGTTGATGTAGTTAGAACTTTATTGTTTAGATTGGTCTGGAAATGAGGGTAATTGGAAAGGATATTTTGTGTAGGGGAATCTATTCATTGTGAATAGGTTCTAGAAAATCCCTGTGTGCATCTTAGAATAGGATATCGGCGGGATAAATTGTTGATGTGGGGGATTTGGGATGGAGATCAATGAATTAGAGAGGATGACTAACAAAAGGGGTTTATGAACTTGGGCTACCTTATGGGGGTTAATTTGTATAAATAATATTTGAACTACCACTGCAGTGGTAAAATGCACAGTATGGGACGCGGATGTCCGCATGTTTTATTATATAAATTAACAGGGGTAGCCGAAGAGGTTGCATTACATTCATGCATTGTTATCAATAATGATTTGAAATTTGGCTAGATGATTCCATGACATTTAATTTAGTATTGTCAATTTACTGTGATAAAGTTATATCCCTAGTGAGCTGTTGAAACTCATCCCTCTATTGTTATGCTGGTTTACGAACTAGACATTCAAGAGGATAGGCAGGATGTGATCAGATTAGATTGAAGTATATAAAGTTTATTCGTCTATTTACTGTAATTCTTGTTTTGTCTAAGAATCATGATAAGAGGAATTTATTTTCCAACCCGTTACAATTTCTTTTAATTGTTTAGTTTTAACTAATGTTTTAGATTCGGATTCGAGTTTTTATTACTGACCCGAGTTCAGGACGTGACATCCATGGACCCCACCTCTTGCCTGATAATTAAGACTAGCTAGGAAGTGTGTTTTGGACAGTGTTTGCCTTCAACCCAAACTGCTTAGGCAATTCAAGACCCATGAAAGTGCTCTTAGGGAGCGTTTGTTGTACCGGACTGTCTCGGACTGGATTAGCTGCAGGGACTAAGCTGGACTGGCTTAGACTAGACTAAACTGGACTAGCTTAGTGAAGCGTTTGGTGCAATGTCGGACTAAAAAGAAGGATAATAACAAATTATAATATTATATTTTTTAATTCATATCTAATAATATTATATTAATTAATTCTAGCTTTTTTTATTCTAATAATACTCTCTTTCTCTCTGGAAGCCTGCATCTTTTTCTTCCTCTCTATCTCCTTTGTTCTCTCTATCCCACGCTCTCATTCTCTCCGTCCCAAGGTTTTCTCTCCGTCCCACTCTCTCCTTCCCTCCTCTATTTTTCAGGTTTTTGTTCGATGCAAGATTCGAACTGGAGAGAGCTTTCCAAGTCTGTGGATTCAATTAGAGCCGCAAGTCTGTAGAGTGGCGGAACCGGCCTACAGTGATGCCTGGCGAGTTGACCGGCGACGAGTCGGGGTTTGTGGAGTCAGGGAAGTGAGAGACGGTGATGGCTTGGATTTCTTGGATCCGTTTCTGTCAAACCCAATATTGCAAACTTGGAGATCCTCTGAGATTGAGAAAAGGAGAAGAGGGAGGAGGAGAGAAGCGAAGCAAGCAACACGAGGTGAAGCCTGAGGCGAAGAACATAAAGGGAGGTGAAGCGAAGAATAGAAACGGGACTACGAATCCCCTCGTTTTTGGTGGCTCTCGCTAAGCCCACCTAGCGCAGGATTTAGTCGGCACGAGTCCGGCTTAATCCCATTAAACACAATCCTAATTCACACCAAACACTGAACTACTAATCCTAGCTAAGTAGTCCAGTCCAGTGAAACTTAATCCAGCCAAACAAACGCGCCCTTAGAGTGAGACCAATTTTTTTAAGTTCTTGTAGAAGCCAACCTTGCATTATATCGACCAAAACTAATACTCATGAGTTTTTCTTCAATCAATGACTCATATTCCAAATCGACAACTTATCACACAATTTGATTTTCTTTGTGTATATCTGACTTTTAGGGACTAAAAACGAGTCTAAATATGCCACATTATCAATTTAGAAATTAATAATAATTAAATAAATAAAAAAATAATAAACTAACACTGTTTTAAATCTCATAAATATAATATCAGCAACTTTAAATTCCTTTCCTTTTTAAAAAATCGCTTCATTAAACATTGAATGCGTAAAATTTAGTCATCCAAAAACTTTAATTTTGAGTAGAGTGAAAAAGAAATCGATGATAGTTAAACTCACACCAAAATGCATACTCTATAAACATAATTATTATCCGTCATTACATCTATTTGCCCACAAACTTTTTTTTTGAATATATCGATATTTTTTACATTAAGAGGAAGGGGAGTTCGGTAAAACTACACAATGGGTAACCTAATTTAGTATTGAATTAGTTATTCACAAGATTCGAATCTAAAATCTTTTACTTTTAAGTGAAGATGAATAATCTCAAATCGTAATACTAACACCGAGTGGCGTCCACAAACTCTTTTTAAACCTAACTCACATTTTTATTTTATTTTTAAATATTGTTGAGATAAAGTCACATTCGTTGATAGACAAATTTTCCCTTCTGACAAAACAAAAAAAAAACATAATAAACTGTCGGTACTCCGGAGTCGGATGTAGGCGTGATTTCTTCAATCTCTTTTTGCTTTTGTTTTCTTTTTCTCAGTCTCTCTCTCGGACAGACAACCTCAAATTTCCGCCATCACCGCTGTCCACTATACACACGTCTCTCTCCTGTCTCACAAATGGATTTCCCGTTTCGCCATTTGGAGGTAGGTTGTCTGCTCTCTTTATGCTTTCATATTTTATGCGATTAAGTCATGTTAATATTTTCTATTAATTTTTTTTTTATAAGGATAATAAGATAAAAGGCAATAGAAATATAAAATGTTGATGTGGCTTAACCATGATCGCACAAATAGAAGGACACCAAATTAGCAGAGCAGACAATCTGCCTCCTCGCCATTTTCCCTGATAGAGTGGGATTCTCTTATCTCTTTTGTGTTTTCTCCTTTCTTCTTTTACTATTTGAATGATCACAATTAATTTATTTTAATATATTAAATTAATTTTACATAAAAAAAGAAAGATAAAATAAAAAAATATAAGAGAAAGGAAACGGAAGAGAATTCAGTCATTTCCTAAATCTTTCTCTTTTCTCTCTCTTCCAGCTCAAAACTTAGTACCTGCTGTGCTGCTGACCTGCCCTGCTCTCTCCCTCTCTCTCTCTCTCCAAGCTTTCTCCTTTCTCTATCTAGAGACCCAAAAATAGAGCCGTTGCCATTGTTGCTGAGAGAGAGGGAATGAAAGAAATCGAAAGGTTAATGCTTTGAATCCATAAAAATGTTAAATTTCTTTGTAAGGAAAGGCGTTAGGAAGATTCTCAAGCGCAAGGATAGTGATGCTGGTGAAAGAGGTATCGTTTGCCACTTCTAGTTCCAAATTCCAATCTCACTGCAGCAGCTAGCTTGAAAGAAATTATTTTGGTTTGTATTTCCATCCAATAAGCTACGAATGAAGGGTCACTTTGTTTGGTTTATCTGGGTTTTCTCACAAATTCTGTGGCTTTCGTTTTTGTGATTCATAATTTTGTTGAATTCAGTTTTAAGGTTTAAACATGTTGCTTGTGAGTTTTGCTATTTTTGTTTGCAGATTCTAATATCTGTTTGCTTATTCATTGCATTGACTGATTTTGCGTGAGCTATTTATTTAAAATCTCCTTATTCATGTAGTTTATACTTATATTGCAGTTTGGTTAAAACGAGTGAATAAATTTTTGGATTAAGTACCCCGACCTTTGAAGTGTTATTTCAAATTGGTTTCAACCTTTTCCCAATAACTACCCAATTTGTTGAAAATGTTGCATTAGTTAAGCTGCAGATAAAAAACTGTTAAATTAACTAGAGGTTACTTTGTCTTCAAAATCGATAGAAAGTCATGAAAGCATAGCCTCATCCAACTAACGGTCACCGCCATCCCCATCATGCCATCACCTCCAAACCCAAGGAAAAATCACCAACTCCACCCTACAACTCAAGCTATCAACATTGGGAAGAAGGTCATGGAGGTTGCTGAAATGGTAAGGACTACCATGATCTGGCCGCCACCTTCTTCATTGCCCACAATGAAGAACTGAAAGCTTTACAAGCCGAGAATCGGTGTATGAAGAAAACACATAAGCAGAAACAAGCTCCTTGAAACCCTATCTGAATTCTTATCCCTTTCTTTATTAGAAGATTGCACTCCTGATGTAATTTTAATTTGGGTTCATTTTCGATTCAATTCAACACTTGTTTATCATTGGATTCCATATTATATAATTTATGTTTGAAATTTAGATTTTTGAGACAACTAATATTAACGTTGACCATTATATACCCAATTGGTGGATTTTCAACATAATTAACTGGGGCTTAACGGTGTGACATTTTCAATAAGTTGGGTACTTGTTTGAAATGTTTAAAAAGGTTAAGATCAATTTGGAATGACACTAAAAGATTGGGGGATTTTGGGTACATAATTCTAAATTTTTTTATGCTTAGCAATTTTGTTTGTTTGTTTTTTTTTAGTTGAACAAAATATATAATTTTATTTATTTTTTGGCTCGGATATTTACATTTTGATTTGTTCTTCCCTAGTGTCTAATTTTTGGTAAGCATATTACATCCAATTTAATTTTCCTTAAAGAAAATTATATTATCTCGTTTCCAGTCTTAATGAATTCATGTATATGATAGTCATTTCTTACTGAGCTGGAAATGTGCATATGGATATTTATTATAAATGACTATCATATACATTATTTGTATGTTGATTAAAACAAAATGTATGGATTGACATTTGTTATTTTTCATAAGTAGGTATTACAGTTTGTTAAGGTCGGCCACGAGAGACAATCATATCTCATTATTATTGGACTTTGATTCTGTAGGGAATATAACTTGGTTATACATCTGTAGTATGTTGTTGCTCATTGATATCGTTTATTTTCTTCTCTATTTTCTGTATATGAACTCAGGAAGAGCTATAGAAGACTTGCGATCTGCTCTTTTTAATGAATTCCGCTCATCCGATGGTGCAAAGCGTCAGCAACAGCTATGTGGCCCTGCCACTGCTCTTACCTTCAATTTTGTAATTGCTGTTGGCATAATTTTCGTGAACAAATTGGTTCGTATGCTGAACTCTCTATATTCTAATCTATCCACATTTTGCCTGACTTGATATAAAAACAGCAGCTTTCCGGCTGGTAACTTATGTTCTTGTGTTTCTTCAGGTGCTCAAAGTTGTTGGGTTCCAGTTTCCTATATTTCTCACCCTTATCCACTATGTAGTAAGCTGGTTATTAATGGCCATTCTAAATGCTCTTTCTATCCTCCCTGCATGTCCCTCAAAATCGACCCGCTTATCTACATTATTTACTCTTGGCTTTGTTATGGCTTTCTCTACTGGCCTTGCAAATGTTAGCTTGAAGTATAATAGGTGAGATGTTACATCATTATTCTTACCTTTACCAAAGGTCATCAGAATCTGTTTCTTAATTATATATATGTTTTCAACATTGAGTTTAATATCTATTTCTTCAGTGTGGGGTTTTATCAGATGTCTAAAATTGCGGTTACGCCATCAATTGTTCTCGCAGAATTTTTGTTGTACAATAAGAGAGTTTCTTTCTCGAAGGTAGCTCCTTTCGTTTTTGCCTTTATGTGCCATGTCAATATGCAAATAAAACACAGTTTTATATTCCTGCTATTCGGGCTGAGTTGTTGTTTTAGCAGACTGTAGAACACAAAGTTCCGCCACAATTCCTGTCCAGTCGCACTTGTCACTGAAAAGGTTATTCATATCTGGTTTACATGTTTTTGAAAATTCGGGTAATGCCTTCACTATCGCCAATAATTTTTTTCAAGACTCTGAAATGAGGAGGATGTAGACCTCACATCCAAATTGTCCCACGTATTATGAAAAAATGCTATTTGGAAACTGTATTAGATTGTAAACCCGGGAATTAGCCGCTGACAGAGGTAATTTACTCAATCAGTAGAAATATGCCGAGTAGATCTGTTAAAGATATGGAGGAAATCTTGCATGCCTATCCAAATGCATTACTTAATTCTTTCGGCCTTGATACATTAGTATGTAGGGTGCTTGTATGGGTTCCTTGCACATGGAATTGATTAATTCCATTCTTTTTTCATTTTTTAATCATTGTTCTTCTCATACAAAATTTTCTGCATAAGTCATCTACAACAGCTTTTCCTTTCTGTTCTAACACCTTGCTACGAAATTTCAGGTTCTAGCACTTACAGTAGTATCAATTGGTGTTGCCGTCGCTACAGTAACTGATATGCAATTTCATCTCTTTGGTGCTTGTATAGCATTAGCATGGATAATACCAAGTGCAGTCAACAAAATTCTTTGGTCTAGCTTGCAACAGCAGGAAAATTGGACAGCCTTAGCGTAAGTGGTGCTCCCCTTGAAACCATTAAGTTTCTATTGGAATCTCCTTGATATTGAACTAAAATGCAAATCGTTGAACAGATTAATGTGGAAGACAACGCCAATCACTCTATTTTTCCTTGTCGCACTAATCCCTTGGTTAGATCCACCTGGTGCCCTATCTTTCAATTGGAACTTCAACAACACCTTGGCAATTCTCATGTCAGCTATTCTTGGCTTCTTGCTTCAGTGGTCAGGCGCTCTAGCACTTGGGTATGTGATATCTGTTTGTTCTTCCTGATTATCCTATTTGTGGTTTTTTGGGTCCATAGTTTAGGTCGGAAGAAGAGTTTTGACCTCCGATGTCGTTAGTTTACAGTTTACGTTGGTCAGTAGCATGAGCAAACTAGTCAATTTAGTACACTGTCAGATTGGTCACCTCTCAAATTGATTAAAAAAAAAAAAAGGTATAAATTGGCCTTTTGAGAAGGACTTTTTCTTGAAAAAGATTAGTGTATGGAGTTAGCTTTATAGTGTAAGTTAGAAGTTAGATTCGCAACCTATATGCAAGGCTATGGGTGAGGAAATGACAGCATTGCCCTCTAAAATGTATCACGTGCAAGCCATGACTTAAATTGACAGAAAATTGAATATAATAACTTTGAATCTTATTGTAGAGATGAAGCTGGAAGCTTTTAATGAACTTAAGGACTTATTATTCTGAAAAAATAGTTCAAGAACTCGATTTTCACTTGGGTAATAATTCAGGGGCCAAATTGGCAGTTTACTCTTTTATTTGTCCATTGTCTAGTGGATCAAAGCCTTTTCACTTGTTTTTGGGGTCATGTAACACCTCATGACTATCAAATCAGCCGTATCGACAACATTGCACTTGTAAACCTAGAGGCATGTGACAAGTATCATAACACCACTTTGGCATGTGACCGTTATGTATATATATATCTGAAAACTTCAATTCTAATGATAACTGTTTCAAACATGGTCGCGTGGCATTAATTTTTTTTTAAAGTTTTGTAATATGTCCTGGGGACTGCTATATGTTTGTTAATCATAATTTTGATTTTACTTTGTGAATTTTAGCTTGAAAATCTTGTTCTGCTTGGTTCTGTTGGTTTTGACATGCTTGATTTTTTATTTTTTTTCATCTTTGGCAGGGCAACATCTGCTGTTACACATGTCGTTCTTGGTCAATTTAAAACATGCGTCATTCTTCTAGGAAACTATTACCTCTTTAGTTCCAATCCAGGCAAGACAAGCATTTCCGGGGCTTTCACAGCCATTGCCGGAATGTCCATTTACACTTACCTTAATTTGAAGCTGCAATCAAACAAAACTTCCCCTCGGCAGGCGTCTTCTTTACCAAAATCTAAACTGAGTAAAGAAAACAGCAAGACCCACGATGGAAATTATGGTTCGGAATCTGTCTAACTTATCAAGGTAGATACAAGACAAGATCTAACTCATCACTAACTTGGGGCATTTGTTTGTCTCTAGATAAAAAAATTTCGATTCTGATTTTGAAGGCAAAGCTCTATCCATGCTTACCATGAATTAGAGTTTGGTGTTAGTCTGCTGATCCGGTGTTAGTCTATATGGCATTACCTGTTCCAAGGTCACATTTTGTAGATTCTGTTGGGTTCTTCAACATTGTCTTGGATGCAATTGAACACTGTATATATATATATATATATATACTGGTTACTGTTTAATCATATGTTTCATTTTATTCTTGTTTGATTGAAATGTTGCACTTGACGGCGTGGCTACGAAGGTAGAAATTACTTGAATACTTATGAGTTTTAAAAACAAAAAATTGGATCCAAGAAGGGTGGCAATCAACCCCTTAAATAAAACCGAGCATGGCGATTATGTATATAGCAGGGTTTTCCTTTTACTACATCTTGGTGATGAAGTTTTCCAAACTCTTGTACCTTCTCTATTCTTTGCCAAAGCAGTGGACTGAAGTTTTAGAATTATACTTGGTGTAAGTTTGTTAGTGTGGCATTTTACAGAATAATAAATCTGTTTTGAGCCTTTGTACAATTTTGCTTGAAAAGAGAGAATCTAGTTGTCACTTATATTACGGTCTAGTGATATTTTTTTTCACTTGTAAGTGAGAGGTTTTAGGTTCGATTATCATCAAAGATGAATTTTAACCCTCACTCCCTTACTGTAAATACTATCTTGTTAAAAAAAAAAAAAAAGAGAAAATCCAGCTGAAATTTTCTACATGATCGATCCATTGGTGGTAGGGCTCCATTGAAACTTTTTAATCCTCCTTTATACTTGTTAATGTGATTTGTTTTCCCTACAATAAGCAATAGTTTGGAAGGTTGGTCATTGGTGGTCTTTCTTAAGTGCTAACTAATTTATGGTCGTGTTAGTCTTTAAGATTGGATTGAAATAAAAGATTCTCAAATTCCAAGGTATATTAGTGGTGGATTTATGAAGAACAGGTGTAGAATTGGCTTGGTTTGGTGGAGTCCTAAATTACTAGGTGGAGAAAGCGAGATATAACTACACTTGATGCTTGGTTTCTGAAAGTGATGGAGGCGGCACCAGTGGAGGAGGAGAAAAGGAGAATATTGACACACATTGCTTTTACTTGTTGGCAAATATGGAAGGCCCGACGCAATGCGGTGATGAAGAACAAATTGCCTTCTCCAATCCAGGTGATACATGCAATCTCTGCTTCTTCTTCAGTTTTAATTTCTACCATGGAGGGTTGCGAGGTGAGTCATCCATGAGCGGAATGTCACGGACCTTTCGCAGCTTCCATCGCTATCATGGCTGGGGCATTAACGGTGCTTGAATGTTGTAAATTTGCGAAGAACTGGAATTGTCAGGATATCATTGCCGAATCTGACTCACAAAATATTATAAGGTGGTTGAAGATGGAAGTGGAAGATGGCAATTGGGAGATTTTTCCAGTTCTTTGTTAGATTATGAAGATTAGGAATGACTTCCAAGTTTGTCGCTGATCTTGGATTCCAAGAACAGCCAATACGGCAACACACTCTTTTGCGTCGCAGTTTGATATGGGAACGACCAATCTGGTTTGGCTGGACAGGCTTCCATCTTCGTTGGTGCATTTATTGAACAAGGATGGTCTACCATGTTCATCAGAAATAGCTTTTGATCAAAGTAAGAGCAGGGTTTGACGCCGCCAGCTTTTGAAGCAGCGTCATTTATATCTTCTCCCTATTTGCTTATAGTTTTGATTTCAAATGTGGTACTTTATATTGTTTAATGATTGTTGCTCTTTCGAACAAAAAAAGGGTACATTGATCAATAAGGAAAAATTAGTATTCGGTCCTTAGTTACTAACGTTTTTTTATTGAAACCTTATTAGTTTTCAGATTTTGATTAAGATCCCTAACATTAATGCAATAATGAATTTACATATCAGTTACATAATTTTAAAAATAAAAATAAATAATTGATTTGGGATTTTAATACTTACACCTTTATTAAACTCCTAACTAATTTTCAATTCATAACATTTTCTTAAAAAAAAAAAAAATAGAATAAGTTTGTACCCCTTAATTTTTATAAAAAGGTTTCCAATTTTTTAATCTTAAATGTGCCCATTCATGTAATTTTTCAAATTTTTAATCTTAAAATGTACCTGTTCTTAAATATACCAATTTGTTGTAGTAAAATGTATCTTTTTTTTTATTTTTTTATATAAAATCTATTCAATTTTTTTCTAATCCATTTTTAAACTTATATGGTACATTCTTTTTCTTGATTTGAGAATGTATCCATGTCAAGTTTAATAAAAAAATTTACTAATGTTATTAAGCCTAATATCTATTGTTTTTTTGTGTGGTTTTGAAGAATGTACCCATATTTTGGTACAATAATTTTTTGATGAATGTACCCATGTTTACACACACACACACACAATATATTGGAGAGTATAATCTATATTTTAATAATTTTAATCCACAAATTGTGGGTTTTTTTATTTAAAAATCTTATTAATACAAACAAATATAAATTTCAATTTTTAATTTAAAAAATATAGTAACCTATGACACACTCCGACCTAAATCAGGACGTGTTGGCCGTTACGTGAGAGTGACGTAACCATGTGCATAGTGAGGAAGCAAAATGATAATAAAAATGTGAATAAATAAAAACCAACTACTAGCAGTCTAGCTAAGAAAAGGTGCTAGTGCGAGATTAAGTGTAAAATACACAACCAGAGCATAAGTAGCCTAAGTGCAGTCCAGCAGGACAAATACTAATTATACAACACCCAAAGGTGATCCTACATTTTTGAAATCTGTCAGAACCACCACTGGAATCCTCGTATGCCACCAACGATAACTCCTACCTAGAACCTGGTGGGGTGTAAAGCAGAAAGTGTGAGTGGGCAAAACAAAGCTTTTCAAAATCATTTCATTTCTCAAAAGTTCTAAACCCTCGCCGTAAAACTTGTATAATTTCCTAGAAAATATGATATATATATATATATATATATATATATATGTATGTATATATATATGTATGTATATCACAACCATGCACAGAATAGCAAAATTCACCAATATGCCATGTCAATATCTCAGCATAAAATATATGTAAGCCAGGTGATATAAATCAATGCAAATGATATGTCAGCCGAAGTCACCTAACGTGACCTGTACAGCTGAATCTAGAGCTCATCCATACAGCCGGAGTCACCTAACGTGACCTGTACGGCTTAAATCCACATCTCAACAAATATACCTACACACGAGTCGAAACCACCTAAAGTGGTCTGTACGACAGAATTAGGTGTAAATAAATACATGCAAGTGCTACGATCACGTGAAAACTGTGCGAATAATCGCGGGTCAACTACGAGTCAGAACCACCTATAGTGATTTGTACGATTGGACTGTGAACCTAACTTGGATCTAAGATGATCGTATGGTGCGGGAGGTGAACATCACGTGAAGGACTGTGCCTTAACTCTGGGCGGGAGCACTAACACTGGGGGTTTATGAGCTCTCAACACATCTCACATAATCATCAATCTCACAACCATAATCTATAAACTTACCTGACACTTACCTGTGCGTCCGCAGCACCAATCATAAATATATGCAACTACTAATGCATGAGTAAAATAGGCAGATACTTTGCATGACATTTCAAGACGTATAATCATTCAATTTCATTTTCTGGGAAAAATACCAAGTATATATGTGTATACTGAAAACCAAAAGCCCACTTATTGGTATGTGCAAGGGTCGTAGCCCCCGAGCCTCGATTGACTACGCTCATCTTGAGGATAGGTCTCACCTGACGCCGTTAGTATATTCCATCAAAGTTGATGGAATATTCTTCGTCTTCTCAGGTGAGTCTCGCCGGTCACCGCCGTCTGCAACTTGAATTTTCGTCAGTTTCTGGAAAAACTTCAAAACTTCATATCTTCTTTAATTCTTAACCAAATTCCATGAAATTTGTACCAAAATGAAGCTTACAACGAGTAGAACAAAACCTTACCACTTTTGGAACTTAAATCCAACGAAATCTCGCCGAAAAAACCCACGATAATCTGGCCAAACTTGAAACTCGTCAAACTCAACTTCTCGACGTCCAAAACACTTCGTTTTTCTTCTCCGAGCTTAGTGAAGACGTTCTAAAGCTCCCTAGAAGCTTAAAAACTTCGCGATCATGATTGCATGAACTGTGCACCAAATCGGGATTCTTGGTTTCTCGGGAAAACGAAAGCCTCACGTCCAACCAAAGGTATCAATGGGTTCCTGAGCTTGCAAAGAACTCAAAAACACCAAAAATGATCTTGATCCGTGCCTGAAATGGTTGATTGAAGGTTTGTCCGTACGGGTTGTACGGAAATGCAGAAAAATCCAAGAGGGAGGAGAGAGAGTGCACGGGATTGTTTAGGTGTGTGTGTGTATGTGGTCCTAATTGGCAACAAAACAACCAACCAAAAACAAATCACCCACTACACCAACTAACGTCCAAGGGCAAAATCGTCATTCCACGCCATCGATACAAATATTTCGGGACAGGCTGTCACACCTACATATAAATACATTATCACATTAATTTCAGGGACTTCAATAAAAAATTGAAAACCAACAAGATTTCAGTCAAAGAATGTTGATAGTTAGAGGCCACATCCAATAAATAAGAGGTACTTTGTTTTTCACAAAACAATGTTAATAGGTAATTTGTTTTTCACTAAATCATGAAAATAAGTCATTTATAAAAGTAATCCGCATAGTTTCTTTAAGACAAGTAGGCTTGGCAAACGGGTCATGTCTATCGTGTTTATGTCATTTTCGTGTAACACCTGTTATCTTAACGGGTCGTGTCGTGTCACACCTATTATCTTAACGGGTCCTTAACAGGTCGGGTCAAGTGACCCGACCCGTTATGACCCATTATGACTCGTTAAGAAAATATTTATTAACGGGTAAAGTGACCCGACCCGTTATGACCCATTATGACTCGTTAAGAAAAATATATATTTTTTCTTAAATTTGCACATACCACATATTGCCGCATAAATATTACTTCAAAACATTGAAACACATTTGTCGTTTAAGTAGTACATCTACACTCGAAAATAAGAGCCTAATAAAAATATTCATACACTACTAGTCTATTACAAAATATTAAATGTGCAAGGATATGCAAAATGAAAGAGTTTTTGTTTTCAAGGTTGTGAAGCCTTTCTCAAAAGTTTAAACCTTGCCAATGGAACTCAAAGCTTGCATGCTATTCCTTTTACAAAATCCTCAATTTTCATCGATCATCATGACATAAGATTTTGTGGTATCCACTAATGTAAATATTTTAAATTGAAGATCGAATTCATTCATTGTATTCATATAGGGTCAAGGAGTGTAGCTGTAAAAAATCATCAAAATCTGATTTAAAATAACCATTAAATCGTGATATTTCGTTGATAACCGTCGAAAAGTTTTGTCTCGTTACTTGATCTCTAAATTTTTTTTTTTTTTTGCGATTTTTGGCGTATGCGATCTTGAAGCATATACAAACAAGTTCGACGGTTGGATCGTTGAAATTAGTTTCGTAGAATGCGTATCCCATCAAAACGATAGATTCACTAACACTTAGAGTTTATTTATACTTTCATTAAGTATAACATAAGATTTTGTGGTATCCACTAGTGTAAATATTTTAAATTGAAGATCAAATTCATTCATTGTATTCATATAGGGTCAAGGAGTATAGCTGTAAAAAAATCATCAAAATCGTAGTTAAAATAACCTTTAAATCGTGATTTTTCATTGATAACTATCGAAAAGTTTTGTCTCGTACTTGATCTCTGAATGTTTGTTTTTTGCAATTTTTGGCGTATGCGATCTTGAAGCATATACAAACAAGTTCGATGGTTGGATCGTTGAAATTAGTTTCGTAGAATGCGTATCCCATCAAAACGATAGATTCACTAACACTTAGAGTTTATTTATACTTTCATTAAGTATAACATAAGATTTTGTGGTATCCACTAGTGTAAATATTTTAAATTGAAGATCGAATTCATTCATTGTATTCATATAGGGTTAAGGAGTGTAGCTGTAAAAAAATCATCAAAATCGGAGTTAAAATAACCTTTAAATCGTGATTTTTTGTTGATAACCATCGAAAAGTTTTGTCTTGTTACTTGATCTCTAAATGTTTGTTTTTTGCAATTTTTGGCGTATGCGATCTCGAAGTATATACAAGCATGTTTGACGGTTGGATTGTTGAAACTAGTTTCGTAGAATGCGTATCCCATCAAAACAATATATTCACTAACACTTAATAGTTTATTTATACTTTCATTTAGTATAGCATAAGATTTTGTGGTATCCACTAATGTAAATATTTTAAATTGAAGATTGAGTTCATTCATTGTATTCGTATAAGGTCAAGGAGTGTAACTGTAAAAAATCATCAAAATTAGAGTTAAAATAACCGTTAAATCATGATTTTTCATTGATAACTGTCGAAAAATTTTGTCCCGTTACTTGATCTTTGAATGTTGTTTTTTGCAATTTTTGGCGTATGGGATCTCAAAGTATATACAAACATGTTTGACGGTTGGATCATTGAAACTAGTTTCGTAGAATGTGTATCCCATCAAAACAATAGATTCACTAACACTTAAGAGTTTATTCATACTTTCATCAAGTATAACATAAGATTTTGCGGTATCCACTAGTGTAAATATTTTAAATTGAAGATCGAGTTCATTCATTGTATTCATATAGAGTTAAGGAGTGTAGCTGTAAAAAAATCATCAAAATCGGAGTTAAAATAACCATTAAATCGTGATTTTTCGTTGATAACCGTTGAAAAGTTTTGTCACGTTACTTGACCTTTGAATGTTAGTTTTTTGCTGATTCGATCTTGAAGCATATATAAATAAGTTTGACGGTTGGATCGTTGAAATTAGTTTCGTAAAATTCGTATCCCATCAAGTTCAATGGTGTGTGTATATATATACACATATATATATATTTATTAAGTAGATTTAAATTTATTTATTTTGTACTTATAACACTTAAGAAATTGAATGATATGTATATTTAAGCCGATCCAATGGTCACCAATTTTTAATATTTAATTTAGTGTATATATATATATATAATTATTATAGTATTTTTTTAGGGTTATAAAATTATAAAATTAATATTTTGCTTATCGTGTATCGTGTTACCCATGTGTATACCCGAACCAACCCGTTCTCTTAACAGGTGCTTATCGGGTTACTCGATAACGACCCGATTCGTTATCGTGTCGACCTGAATACCTGTTAATTTCGTATCGTGTTGGGTCGGGTTATCGGGTTGTGTCAGGAATTGTCAGGCTTAAAGACAACGATTCTCATATTTGTTATCAATATGCAATAAATTTATAACATTAATACCTTTCTTTTCTTTTTTTTTCCTTTTACAAAATCATTAATTTTTTCTTACAATCTGCATATAATTAATTGTATACACCAAACATGTAAATAACGGTATTTTAGGCATTTGGAAATGTAAATGTGTGAAGTCAAACGTAATTAATGAATTTACTTATGTGGAGTTGAGTCACTGAATTTTATTCAAGCAAAAAGATTAGGTCAATTTTTATATAGAGAAATTTGAATTCGGAAAACCCAAAAATTCTTCCTGAACCCTTGAACCTTGGAAATTGGAACACAATTTAGAAAACATATAATTACAACTAAATGGATTTGCACGCACACAAACAAACAAACACCCACATCACGTGGAACTCAATTCCTTCAGGAGCTGTTATCTCTGTTTTGTTTATTGCAGACACGTCTCAGGGAGAAGACAGATTTACAAAGAAAAATACCTTCATGTGCATATATAGATGAATAACAAACAATAATTATGTACTTTTCCTTGTCCAATGTCATCAAGTTTCTAGATCTTATTATTGATTAATTTCCCATAGAATCTCATCCTAAATCCCATATTTTTATGCTTAAGAAGAGCTGGCAAGATCACCCTTGAGGTGATACCAAGGAACTCCACACATGCGTGGTTTTGGATCATGATCTAACCTAATGGCTATACAAATATCCATCTATATATTGCGGTACAACGTGATGCATTTAGAAGTTCGAGACTATCTAATTTTTACTTACGTTATCAATTATTTTCTGGAAAATTATCTCAACCGTGCAGATTTGTGCATAGATGATTTTGTAGATGGTTGATTCTTAGAAGGTAACCTTAAAAATGGACTGTTTCGTTCAATTGGAACCAAATAAAAAATGGGTCGTTTGCAATATATTGACATGGATCATGGTAACTATGATGAGGGCTCCTACCCCATAACCGATAATGATTAAATTGTATAGGAAATTTTCCTTTTTATTAGGATGGAATGGTTTATAGGATATATGTGGAGCTGAAACTGAACTGGATGGGGTGAATCTATAAATTTAAAAGCTAGTATTTGGTGTTAATAAACAAGATAATTCTCACTTTTATTATCTTTAAATATCGTGAAATTTGTATTTTGCTGCTTTTAATATTTTCTTTCACTTTCACATTTAAAGGTTGATTTCTGTACAATATTTATATTTCCAATAATATATCTGTCAAATGCTTCCTTAATTGATAATATGGCGCAGCTTTGGCCCACCAAATTAACCATGTTGGGGTGAAAAATTAAATAAATATTAGTAATTAATTAATTAATGAAAAAAAAATCACTCTCTTCAACCTGACCCTCTCCAGGCTCTTCTTCAAAAACCCGAACTACCACCTAAAAAAGTAAACCTAAATAAAACTAGGTCTGTGACCGAAAAAAAATATATAAAACTAGGTCGATATATATATATATATATATATATATATATTGCATGGATTTGTGTCCAAGTTAAGCAAAGAGCTACATTGATATTGGTGCAGCAACAAATATGATAAACACATAAAAATTTACACCCAAAGAAGAAAAAGAAAGAAGTAACAATTAATTAACCTTTCTCTGGCTAATTCTAAGCTGTAACCTATTACATAATCTCTACTAATTAATGAAACTCTTTTTGTCAACAAAAAGAGGGTGAAAAGACAAATTAGTCTTCTATCACATAAAAAAAATGATGAGTAATAATATAATTTTCATAGATCCAAATTTTACTGTTTTTTATTTAAACCTCACCTACAAGTAATGTTGAAATACCTCAAATATTAAAAAAATTAAAAAATTAAAAAAAAAAAACCTCCCGCTCCCCCATGTTCTTCTCTCTCCCTCTCTCCTTCTCAGTTTCTTAAAAAATATGTTCATACACACAAAATGTGTAGGTAACTGCTAGTTTCTATCTAACCAAACTAATATACTAATATTTCTGCACCAAAAAATAAAATAATAATAATATAATACTACCACGAGGAAGCAAAATTAAATATATATAAGTGAACGCTAAATCAAGGTACTCAGTTGTCACATGCAGAGCATGGTGTGTATTTTGTTGAACACTGAATCCAATGGCATGCATATGATTTTCTTTCTGAAGGACATTTTGATCCTCTCCATCCACCTAACCCTGACTTGGATATACAGTTGTATGTGTTTTTCTTCTGCCTTGATTGTCTCAGAAACTAGAGCCCGAGAAGAATATAGTAGAGTATTGTCACAGGCAAGGCAACAAGCATTCCAAAAATAACACTGCAATAGTTGCATCACCATAATATACAAGTCAGATTTTTTTTTTTTTTAAAGAAAAGTGATCTTCACATACAGTGTTATGCTTTTATATCCTTTACTTATTTCTGAGTTTTAAATTATATAAATAAAGAAGAATCAAAGACAAAAATAAAGATGAATGTGAATGTGAAAAAAAAGGAAAAGAAAACAGGATATTTGGAAATCATGTCCCTTTTTCATCATGTATTCGTGGTTTTCTTCTTCAAATAAATAAATAAATAGATAAACTTACGCAGTGCTAAGTATGTCCGCGTGGACATTGTATTCCTTGGCAAATACAAAAGGAACTATGCCTTGAGGAAGAGCAGCCTGCAGAAAGAAAAATGAAATTAAGCAATTAATTACATATGTAATCTTGTGGCATATATAGTGTGCATATCTAATTACGTTGTGTTAAATAAGGCATTGTATTATGTATTAGGGTTTGTGGAGGCCCTTGTGACTGGATTATGATGCAGTTTCCATTTGATAAAAAAACTGTAAGATTTTAGAAATGTGGGGATGGTTGCAAAGGTGGAGTTGGCGAACCTGAACTATTGCTACATGCAAAAGAACTCCACGAAGACCGACAGCAATAGAAGTTGCAGCAATCACTGCTGGGCCTGTTAAGAACCTAACAGCCATTGAAAATGTTGCAACAGATTTTCCACAAGCTATGATCTTTGGTTGTAAGGCCATGAATAATCCTGGAAATATATGTTATGATATCATTAATTAACAAGAAAAATTCATTTGAAGTACATATGGTACAATAAGGTCAATATAATAAGTCAACTGAAGACAAATATATACCAAGACTGAACATAGCCATTCCTAAGCCAGCATCAGATAATATTGATATGGATCCACTTACAATTGTTGGCATTTTGATTTTCCACCTGCCAATAATTGAGAAATTCATTTTAGTGGATCAATTTTCGATCACATTAATAGACTAATACAAGATGCTAGCGATGGAAAAAAATTAAATAGTGAATTTGAAGTGTGTAAGAAGAGTGCTCCAAAACTCTCGAGCTACAAATTATATGTTGCTTTTTTATAAACTATTTTACCACAATTAATAATCCCATTCCTTTTATCACATATCTCGTAAAGATGAGACCCAATAATTTTCACCTCTAGATAGGGTTTGTTCATGTAATATATGATACCATTTGTTATATGTTTGAGTGATTTCTACACAATGCATGGTGGGTGCACTCACTGTAGAGAGAGAGAGAGAGAGAGAGAGATGTACTTGTATGATATGAGAGACCATGCCACGCCAAGAAGGCTGGAGTAAGTGTTGGGGTTTCTAATGAGCTTTCTCCAGACCATGATGAGAATAAGCCTAGTCATGACACTTGCTGGAGGCATTTGGTGCTTCTTTGCTACACCTCCTTCCATGTCAACCTTCTTTTGGCAACTACTACTGTACGATGACACACTCGGTGGAAATTTATTCGATCCTTCTTCTATCTCAAGCTCGCTATCTCCTCTCATTTTCCTCCCAGGACTCATATTCTCAATTAATTCGTGTATACCTGTACATGTAATCAAGGATATAAAATTAACCAAATAACAATCAAGATTTAACCCTTAAATTAGAAAAATAAGTTCCACTACCTTTGTATGATTAATCTAGTAACTAATAGATTCGTCAAATTTTATTCCCTAAATGGTTTGAGAAGGTGTTATTTACTCAGATATATGATCTTTTACACAGTAAAAAAAGATAAATGTATGATCTTTTACAAATATAATTTTATTTAAAACAAGTATATGATCTTTTACTATTTCATTTCTAAATTTTAGGTTTTAGTCTTGAGCAACTTTTTTTTTCAGAACTGAAAACTTGTTTGATAATTGTTATTAGTAGAAATGAAAATAAAAGTTGAAAAACGAAATATTTATGAAACGGTTTGGTAATTGACAAAGGAATTTTGACGAGAGTGGAGAAAAAAAACCAGATCTATGTCAAGGAGATCAACGACGCTCCTTGATTTGGTTATAGAAGAATGAAAATTTTGTCCATTCGATAAGGTATCAACTAACAAAAACTGCTGATGTTAGTACTTTTCTGGCAATTTACAAAATCGACAAACATTTGGTTTGAGGGGTGGGGATCATAAAATTATTTGCTCACCTTTCGATGCAGCAGCACTATCATGTTGATGAAGACCTGCAACCTTGGAAGGATCGGTCGCGCCAAAGTCAGTGGAAGCAACCGCAAGTCTAAGATTCCCTTCGGAAACTGGCGATGCATTTGAACTCAAAACAAACATATGAGGCTCCTTATTAGGCGCTGCCCCACCACTACCACCACCGCCACCACTAGCGCTATCTTTCTTCTTCAGCTCACCACTCGTAGACCCTGAAAACAAGGGATTCGGAGGCGGGTACGGAGAGGCCGGACCACCATTGAAGATCTCACCACTCATGCTCCTCGCCCCGCTCTTCTTATAACTCATATTATTCATCTTCATCGCCTCCTCATCGAAATTCGAAGTTCTCGGCGTCATCCCTTTGGATGACTGCACCGAATAAACGTCCCCTAATCCGCCTTGAAAACTATTTGTATATCCGTGTTTGGGGCTTGGGGCCTTGCTGGCGTTAAACATGGCGTAAAAATCCGTCTGGTTGAAGCTGGAAGCCCGCGGGGTGGGCTCACGAGAGGACTTCACCGAGTAAATCTCGACTCCCGTGAGATTCGAAGCCCGTGGGGTCATCGAATTCAAAGAGTTCAACCCGTGTGACTTGTTGAAGGAAGATACCATAGACGACGCATTCGATCTTTTCACCACCACGTGAAGCTTCCCGTCATCGCCGATTTCCGCGTCGGTTTGCAGCGGCTCTCGACCGTTGAGCGAAACGACGTCAGAGTCAACTTTGAACGACGTGATTGAAGCTGCAGTCTCCGGGAACTGCTCGGAGATGAGCAGCTTCGCGCCGCGGTACTCGAACATGAAGAGCATGAGAGTGTACCAGACCACGCTCTGCAAAACGACAATCTGAACCATCAGCGTCCCGGAGAAGTCGCCATACATGGCGCGTAAAAGAGGGATGCCCATGACGAGGGTGTTGGGGAGGGTGGAGAGGGAGAAGAGCGTGATCATCCACTCGAGGTTGCCGCGCTTGGAGAAGGCTTGCCAGAGGAAGAGGGCAACGAGGATAACGACTTTTTGGAGGGAGTCGGCGAGGATGAATTGGTAGTTCATGGCGTAAGGGTCGTTGGAGGATATGAAGTGGAAGGAGAGCAATGGGACGGCGAAAACCGCGACGAAGCGGTTTATGCCGGAGCATTGGTCGGGCGTGAAGATTTTCCACCACCTAACGGAACCGTAGGCTAAGATCATAGCCACGTATAAGGGGACTATGGCTGCAAGAACATCGTAAATGTCCTTGCCAGTAATCATGGCTGTGTTTTTTCAAATACGGAGATATGGGTTTTGTTGTTCGGGGTGTTTAAATTCATGAGGGTTGCAGAGAGAAATGGAGAGGAAGAGTAAACGGTTGTTGATGCCTCTCTTATAGAAAGAGGATTTGTTATTGTTGTTTTTATTTTTTTTTTTGAAGAAAAACTTTAGGGAAAAAAGCAAGAAGTTGGATTGATGGTGATAGTAGGGAAATGGGGTTGATACACGGACAATGTCGACAACAAACCTAGAACAAATTTTATTTTAATGAGACGCTGTCGAGGACTGTGGCAGGTTTTTCTGACCACAAAATTGAAACGGAATAGTTTTACAGCAAATTTGTGTACAAATCTGTGCTAGCTAGCTGCTAATATTGTTTCATTTTAACAAATAAAACTAGAAATGAGTAGGTTTTACAAAAACAAGTTTGTATGATAGATAGCATATATATAGTATGAATATATAAATGTGATGGATAGCATGTATATAGTATGAATATATAAATTTGATGAAAAACGAGTGAGAGATTTGGAGCTATATATATATATATATATATATATATATATATATATATATATGTTGGAGAACAATTCAGAAATAAACAAAAATAACAGAAATAAACAGAACTTGAAATTCTAATAATTTATTTACCAAATATACTTGATGTGCAGAATGAAATTATACAATAAATACATAAACTAATATAAAATATCAATGATACTAACTTGATCACAGAAGGTAGAGGCTAGCGTAAAAGCTATGTCCTTCGAACAGTATTTTCGTCCCACTCTTGTGCTTGTGGTTCTACAACATCTGCTCGACCAGGATACAACTACCTAATTCTACAACCCGCACTGGATTATAGAACTCTAGCGAATTGCTTTGTGTATTTACTCTCTGAAAATTTTGTACAAAAGATAAGGAGGAAGAAAAGATGATTCTCACTTGGATACTATGATTGCAGATATATAGGCTGTTTCACACCCTTTCAAATACCTATTCAGTGTATTGGAAAAGTACACAACTCTTTCTAATAGCTGTGTCTTTTAATCAAAACGTTTTTTAATTAATAAATTAATTAAAAAACTTAATCAGAAAATTAAAATTAATGAATCTGATTAATTAATATTAATTGTAATTAGGCTATATTATATTCAAGCCTAATCCACACAACCATAAGGCCCAAGCCTTCAATCCATTTCCAAATGGTCCAAATTCTAATTACTAAGAAACAGGAATAAGCCTATATAAAGGCTTGTGAAAAAATACTATTGACCAATGTGGGACAAGAGGGTCTCAAACTCCAACAATATATAGATAGATGGCTGGAGGGGTTGAATTACAGAAGAATTGTGTCTTAGTTGCAAAGAGATGAAGCATAGCAAGCGCCACTGCAGACGTTGATGATGCACATGATTTGAGCAATTGTCAGTGATCCGCGGTGGCAGCAAGGATTCTGTCTGGATATTGCTCCTCTGGATTACCATCTTTGAAGTTTTCAACATGAGTAATGCTAAGTAAATGAAATCTGTAAACTAATAAATTATGTGTTTAAGAAAGAGTAATGTTAGGGAGATCAAATTTTTTAAATCAAATAATGTGTCATCAATAAGAAACAAACACATTAATTGATACTTAATTAATAATCCAATTATCTAGAACCATATCATTTACTTTGCAAATTTGGTTAAAAAAATTTAGTCTCCTTAACATTACTCTTTAAGAAATAAGCACGTTAATCAACACTTAAGTAATAATCAAATCTTCAACTTTCATATCATTTAGTTTACAAAATTTAACCTACAAATTTAGTTTTCATAGCACTACCCTTTCTACATTTAAATTAATCCTGACCACTCCAATTAATCATGTACCACTAGATTCTCCATATTGATAGGATTATTTATACCTGCACAAATATGGTTAAAATCACTTAAAATACTTGTAAGAGTACAAGGTAATTATAGTAAAATCACTCATGCAAGTTGTTCTCCACAAGGATTATTTGAATAATTTGTAATTAAGCTGAATTTTAATTAATTAATTAAAACAGATTTTAGCAAAGATTTGAGATTTTGAAATTTAAAAACTAAAATAAACAGTAAACCAATCTGAAAGTTTGCCGAAAACAGTAAAAAAAAAAAAAAAAAAAAAAAACAAGTATGAAATAGACTAGAGTTAAGCCATCATCATTAACAATCCTATACAATACCAAATGCTTATGAATTTCCACATACATACTTTGAAAGTTAGGTTTTCCTAATGCATATTTTCTTCGTGATGATATCTAACATGCAACCAATTTGTGATGTTCAAATCAAATATAAATATGCATGACTCATTAAGCTTTGTGAAAACCCTTTGAAAAACTATGCAACCCTTAAGAGCGTGATTTTCACCTTAAGTGAACTTATAATTACTAATCACAAGAAGCCCTACTCAATTTTAGGGTGATGTTCCAATAGAAATTGCATCAAATTACTTGTCAAATTATCCTAATGGTAGCTAAGCACTAAGACAATTAGATAGTTTAAACTCAATGATTAATAATTCAAGGCAAGCATCTATTCATTCATAAGCAAATTAATAAAATCATATATTCATGCTAAGGCTCATGACCTCGGCCTAACAAAAGGAATTAGTTACGCATACTCATAATTAAAATAAAAAAGAATTTTATTGAAAATAGAAAAAGAGTGAAAGCACCTTGTAGAATAAAGTCTAAAATTCGCCAATGTTTTGCTAAGTTCTCTCAATCTCGTGTAGAGAACTCTAATGGCTAAATAAACTTATTTATACTAATGCAAATTAAAATCCTTCCAAGAAAAGGTCTTCTAAAAACTAGGAAGCAAAATAATAAAAGGATGGACTTAAAATCATAATCCAAATCAAGGTAGGAAATCTGCCCAGTAGAGAATCAATCATGTTTCTGGACCTTCAAGACTCCAAAATAGGTCCAAAACAACTCGAATTAAAGATTAGGACATCCTCTTCAAGTTTCAAGAAGAGCCTAAGTCCAAAATCCATCATCTTCCAGCCCAAAAGTTACAAATAAGATCTGAAGCCCAATCTGTCAACACTGCGCGTTGGGCATAAATTAATTCGCCATGATTAGATGCTTGGGGATAAAATTCTGAAATTTTGATACAATATTGTTGACAAACTCACGAACCTGATCCAATTGGAATCACTCAAAATTCTACCGTTTAACTACTTTATGATAAAAAAAGATTTGCATGTCCTACATTGAAAATACATAACAAAGCATCAAAATCTCACCAAAATAATCAAACCCAGAATAGGGGAAATGTTGTGGCTTATTTTAATTTGACAGGGAGAGAGGGGTGCATGGTAGAGAGAGAGTAGGGAGAGAGACGTGTTTGTAAGGTTATGTAAAGGATGTGTTATTCCTCCTATGCAGTGTCTTTATTTATAGTAATAAGGGAGGGAAGAATCCTTCTCCTCCAAGGAATACAAGTCCTAATAGGGAAGAATAACTAGTATCAAATCTAATCTAGGATTTACACAATCACACTTAAATACAATGTTTATAACACTCCCCCTTGAGTGTGTATTTAGTAGATTCGAAATCATGTAGAGTTGAGGAACTCGACTCATCGGCACTAATTCTGGGTACACGCTAGTCTCAAAGTAAAGTAGGAATTTTCCTATAGAACAAAGTCTCACAAAAAAAACCCAATGGCTATGGTAAAACCCAAGTAGGGACAAAACCCATAATCTAAGAAAAAATGCTTGAGTAATGCAAAGTCAAATGAAGCATTACGTGATGTCATCAAGGATATGATCAACCCAAGGTGGGTGCTTGGTCAAAACCTCGTTAGGTAGCAAAAAGCCAAAAGGAAAAATGCTCCTAATCTTAGGAAAAAGAGTACATTAAGATCAAGCAAGTATACTTTGATGTAACCCTTCTTGAGCTGTTCGATGCGTCTTGCGTTATCTTCATAGATCGTCATCGGGACGTTAATAACGGGGTAAAGATCCCAGAAGCTTCGAATATGGCCCACAACTGTTCTCAGCTAGAAGTATTCCTAAGTTAAGTTGTGTAAGGCAAGTATTTCAGCATAGTTAGACGAAGTGGCAACTAAGGTATGTTTAGTTGACCTCCAAGATATTGCGGTGCCTCCAACGATAAAGACATAAGCCTTTTAAGAGCGCGCCTTGTGCATATCAGATAAGTAACTTGCATCGGCATAACCAACAAGACGAGAATCAACTCGAGATAAAGGGATGCAGCATCACTAGAGGAGTTGTAAGGATAGAACAAGCACAGATCCGTAGTACCCTTAAGGTAACTAAAGATGTCTTTAACACCAGTCTAGTGTCTGCGTGTCGGTGCATTACTGTATCTTCCTAAAAGATTAACAACGAATGAGATGTCGGGTCTAGTGCATTAAGCTAAGTACAATAAAGCGCCTATCGCACTTAGATAAGGAACTTCAGGTTCCAAAATCTCTTCATCATCCTCCTTCGGACGAAAGGGATCTCATTTTTCATTTAGCGATCGAACGACCATAGGAGTACTCGAAGACTTCACTTTATCCGTTAAAGCAGCGTAACACATTATGGATGTAGTTCGATTAATGTACCAAGATTTCATCCGAACGGTGCTCTATCTCGAGACCGAGACAGTATTGAGTTTTTCCTAGATCTTTCATCTTAAATTTTGACTTCAGGTGCACGATAGTTCTCTTGAGCTCTTCAGGAGTTCCAATGAGGTTCATGACGTCGACATAAACTGCAACAATCACAAAACCAGAATGTGACTTATTAATGAACACGCAAGGGCATAGTTCCTTGTTCACATATCCCTAACTAGCCAAATACTAACTCAAATAGGTATTGTTGACCCTAAAAATTACAAAACCTACGTGGCGCGCAGACCGAGTAACTAATAAGCTAACTACGTCCTTCGGTCGAATGCGGGGCGTGCCAACTCGTCGGCCGAGTCTGGCCGAGGAGTAAAATTTGTTGATGTAGCTTTGAGCGCGTCGCTGACTTCTTTAACTTGCGATTGCGACCGAGGAAGGAACACTCTCGGTCTCTGGGTTCTACAGCCTGAAGACAAGGCTGCTAATTCTGCGGAGTTCACAAATCGTCCGAGCCCGATTCGGTCACTGTGATTATATTCGTGAG